GCTTCATGCTGGAAGATTTAAATTTGCCTCCTGTATTTCCAGGATTAGCTGACATAATGGGGTCAGTCTGCTGGCACCAATGATTTACAGAACACCCACTGGCAGCTTTCCTTTTAAAACTCAACACTTCAGGTTTCCACATGGTCACAGCCAGTGGAGTCCTGGGTACTTAGCAGGTTTGGATAATCGCCCTCCTGCCACATCCAGGCGTTTGGGGTTTGGCCCTGAGAAGAGTTTTGAAATCATTCCTGGGCTGGTCTGGCCCTATCCGGTACGAATGGGCCTTGCCGAGGTCTCCTGAGACACAGCTCTTCCAGGATGCAATGTCTTGTTTCAGATAGAGCTTATTTTCAATGTTCTAAGGCAGTATGCTAATCCTATGTAATAAAAAGCTAATATGCAAATTGTCCCCTCAGGAGTTCAACCGACCAGGAGTTTAACTGCTCGCTATGACATGCGCTGACCACCAGGGGGTGGCGTGGAATGAAGGAAGGCCCCAGCCTGATGGCAGTCCAGGCCTAGGGACCCTACCCATGTATGAGTTTCGTGCACCGGGTCTCTAGTATTCCATATTCAAATTCAATACTCAAATATTCTATGTAGGAGTCACATGTGTTAGGTATTAAAGATGGGCAAATCCTGCCTCCCTTTCCACACCTATCAACCTGTAAAGGTGGTGCTGCAGCCTACAAGGGCCCAGCTCATTGCTCTAAGCTCCAAACTGTACTCTGGAAAAAGAAGAGCCTGGAGTGAGGCTTTCCCAGGAGGCCAGGGAGGTGTGGCCTCACACTGAAATCCAGTGGATGTTGTAGGTCCTCTGCTGGAGAATGATGCCCACCCCATGGCCCACAGAGGGCCATCAGTGACCCAGCTGTGGGACCCCTAGAGCTAGCATGGCCTGACCACCAAAGTAGATGATGTGATCATTGAGGGGAAAGGGGACAGCTGGCCTCTGCATTGCTGACTTTAGCAGTAAGCATTCTTGCAAAGGCCATCCATTGGGACCCTGCTCACATCTTTTATGACTGAGAAAGCTGCTTTAAAAGTCCCATGAGGACGGGGGCCAGCACTTGAACTTGAGATCTGGTCCTCCACATCTCATCCACGGATATGTTTTATTTGGCTCCCAACACAAACAAAACAACTGACTTTGAATATGGCCTGCACTGTTTACAGAGCTCACACACTGCCCGAAACTATCCCAGACCCATCCTGCTAGGCCTGAGAGTACGCCCTGCTCTATCAGGCTTTCTCCTCTCAATCACCCTTCCTAGCTCTTTCCAGGAAAGCAGCAGAGGGAGTTAAACTTCTCAGGGGTTCTAAGCCCTACTCCCAAGCCTCTATTACCTAGTCTCTATAACCCTATTTGACCATGGAAATCGGGGGCCCACAAATGCCACTTTGAGTGGTCTTCACCTTATGCCACTAGAGATAAACAGTGGAGTGATGCCAAAGAGAGATTTTTCCAATACTTGCATCTCCCCCGAATATCTACTTCATATAAATGACAAGCACCATCCACTTGGCTTGCGTATCCTGAGCTTTTTCCAGCTACCAGACCACTCAAGTGCGCAGAAGATGAAATAATTGGTAGGCTTTTAAATATTGCCTTGTTTCTCATGTGACCGTTTTGTACAGAGTCAAAGGGATGTGCCAACAATAGCATCGCCTGTGTCACGCTTGTTACTAATACGACTGCCAATGAATCCCGACACGGGAGTGTGGTGGGTTACCCAGAACCTGGTCATTTAGCACCTCAGGGGGCCGGCCCTTGGACATTTCCATGACATTTCATACAAATCAATCAACCTTCCTTTTTAAAAGCAGAGCCTTTCATGGCAACCACAGATGAGTCCTGGGTGCACCGCACGCACCCCAGGCCACCGTTTCCCCAAACAGAACTGGGTTTGGTGTGTTGATAATTACCCTCCGAAGCTGACTTTTTGAAAATGTTTATTCTATTGCTTCCCTTCCAAGGGGGAAATCTATCTCAAATGTTAAGACAGAAACTCAAGTCCCTGAGAGTTTTCTCGTATTATTGTACATTATAAAATATTACAAGAGGATGCTTCTCGGGGGAGGTGAACTTTAGAGCTGCCAGACGTAGCTGACTTTCTCCAAATCTGTTACCAATGGGTCCCAAGCGGGTTCTATTCTGAGTAACGACATATGCGGCGGGCAAACGCCCTTCGAAGATATTTCTGGGCCCCTCAGGCAAATGGTGATTTACCTGGAGACAACCAGGCAGGCAAAGGAAGGACAGAAGGGGAGAACACATCTCCTGGAGGCCCTGCGTCAAAGCAGGTGTCCCGACTCAGCGCCAGAGACCTCATTCTCATGGGCTGAGACCCATCTCTCATCACTTGCTCATCCCCTGATCAAAGCCCTGGCCTCCAGCGATTCTTTCCACCATTCTTAATCTAAGTCATCCTGAAGAGATGACCAAGCTGCACTAAGTTTTGCTGGCAAACTCTCAGGGCTTCCCTGGCACCCTGTCTCCTGGAACGGTGGCGGAAGGAAACCAGCCCAAGTATGAGCTTTGTGTTGTCCTATCACGTGCATCACCGTCTTCAGGAAGAACTGGGCATATGGCTCCCTCAAAACAGCTTCTTCCTGCTCATCTTTTCTGTACCCCCTCACCCCTCCAGATTTCTTGAGTTATAAGAAATAAGAAATTTCTTATTTCATTGAGAAATAAGAATTGTATACAGGAAAGACATACAATGGGATGCTTTTATATACGCATACATTGTGAAAGGTTTACCACAATCAAGTTAACCATTTGGGGGGCTGTGAGAACAACAAAGATCTACCCTCTTATAGCAAATCTCAAGCACAGAATACAGTATGTGATAACTGTGCTCACCACACTGTCCATTAGACCCCCAGAACTTACTCATCCTGCGTAGCTGGAACTTTGCACCCTTTGCCCCGCATCCCCCATTTCCCCCTCCCCACCCCTTTGTAACCACTGTTCTACTCCCTGCGTCTCAGGACGCTCCTTTTTCAGATTCCGCATGGACCTGGTGGACATGATGCGGAGTGAAGTAAGCCAGACACAGAAAGACAAATGCTGCATGACCTCCTTTCTAGTTTTCACTTCCTTCTCTCTGTCCATTCCTAATTCAGAGGAGCCCAGGTTTTCCAAGGCCATGGAATAAGGCCAACGTCCATGACCTGGGAGCAAGGCCGAGGCACACTGGCTTTGGATCCAAAAATCCCAGCCCTGCCAGGGCACTGCTGTGTGAGCTTGGATGGATCGCCAGCCTCTCCCTGCCTCAGTGGCCTCGTTTGTCAAAGGGACGGATGTCTATCTCACCTGACTCACGGGCTGGTACGGAATAAAGGGCACAAAGCAGGTGAAATGTTTTGAAAAAGCTAAACACGCTCTACACCTATAAGCGCTAACACACCAGTTCTCCCTGGCACAGCACCCCACCCCATGCACGCACAACACGGGCATCTGTTTACTGTTGTAAAGGACCCAAGTAGCCAGTGATATAGTAGTGGCACTGCCTGGGACGTTTCTAAAGCACCATTCTGGAGCGTTCTTTGTGCCCCAAGCACTAATGCATGACCTCGTTTAATCCTCACAACCCTAGCAGCGAGGCCAGCCCCTGGACTCCCAGATGAGGAAGCTGAGGCTAGGAGAGGTCCTGATGCTGGGGAGCACTCCGGCCAGACTGACCCTTAGGGGGAGTGAGGGGAGAGAAGGGACGCTGTGCTCCAGCAATGAGTGTGAAGTATGACAAGTGTGACAGTGCGGTGCTTGGCAAACGCCCCTTCCGCACAGGGCAGGAGGCAGAAATCACCACACAGTCAGCACTACCCCAAATACAGGGAGAGCCCTGAGAAGAAGACGAGGCTCCTAGGCCCCCAGCGCTGGGTCTGTGACCCACCAGCTCCGCAGGCTCCAGCGAAAGTGGTACCTCGCTGAGCCCGTGTCCTCGAAGGAAAGAACCAGCCTGGCAGGACCACAGTAATAGCATCTCCCCGCAGCCGCAGGAGCGTAACATGCCAAGAGGGAAAGCGCGTGAAAATACTGTGTGAGCACCTGAGTATGTACCGTCCTACAAACAGCTGACTCTCTTTACTGTGGGAAAATCAATGGAAGGGCAGAATAAACACCCTGCTGTGACGAAAGTCAAGAAGCCACTGTGAGTGTGGTGTGGTCCTGCCTGGAAGGTCGGGATTAACCCCAGGGAGGCCTCTGGGCCGTTCCCGCTGGACTGTCCTCGCAGGGCAGCTGCTCCCAGCTCCTCTCACTGCGCAAGGACGGACAAGCCCCAGAGGGCTCCACGTTTGAGCTAACACTTCACTGGTAGCTCTGCCTCTGGTTCCCCTTTAGAGACAACTGTATTTTTAAATATATTTTTGTTGATTTCAGAGAGGAAGGGAGAGGGAGAGAGAGAGAAACATCAATGATGAGAGAGGATCAGCGATCGGCTGCCTCCTGCACTCCCCACACTGGGGACCAAACCCACAACCCGGGCATGTGCCCTGTCTGGGAACTGAACCATGACCTCCTGGTTTATAGGTCGACGCTCAACCACTGAGCCACACGGGCTGGGCTAGACACAGTTTTAAATCATTCCGATTAAGCGGCGGTGTCGGGGACAAAACCAAAAGCTCCTTTCTTTTCAATATGCTGCTGTTTTGTAGAAAACACAAAATAAGCTTAATACATATGCACACAGCTGATCTAGCTGGACCCCACGAATGAAAACCTTCAGGACCCAGCTGCCCAGCCCTCACACCATATTCCAGGCGAGGACACCAGGGCAGATACATATGCAGGAGCCTTGACCAAAGCCACACCCCCTATGAATGGCAAAGTCCAGCTTTCTCTCCACTCTATGGCACTTCCCGTGTATCTCCACGTATCACGGTTAAGATGCACTTTTAAGATTCCAACCTGGGCGTCGTTCGCCGCCTGGCTGTGAAGACAATGAGCCTGGGTGGCGCCAGCCGTGAGCTCCGACAGTCAGCACCGCGCTTACCTGTAAATTTGCACACGGCGGTAACACATGGGTGGGGATCTCATTCTCGGACCCTGCTGGCCCCAGGGGCTGGTTCTTGACCCGGAAGGCTGTGGTGGTCGTGGCAGTGGTAGTCTGAACCGGGAGGGCTGGCTGCCACACTGTGACATCGGAGCCGTTGCCAAAAGCCTGGATTGCATTTTCTGCAGAAAAACAGGAGGAAATCCAATTTCAAAGTCAAGCATTAAATGTACCAGACAAGCTACATAAAGCCAGACAGGCAGCCTAGAAATTCTGAATAGAGCACTGGACTTCCCTGAACAAAACCCACCCAACTGTCTAGCCTACGTGTGTTGAGAGCCAGCCACTGGGTCAGAGGTTCAAAAATCAATTCGTTCATTCAACACTGGGCCGGACACTTGGATGCTCCAACTGCAAACCACACCTATGCTGTTCCGATCGATGCGCCAGGTCCTTTGCCCTGAAACACTCATTGGTTAAGCCCTTTGAAATCCAGCCTCGGACTTGTTATTTGGGATCCCAACCACTGTCCCATCTTCCAAGAAAACCTTTGTGCTCTGTCAAAATCCTGTACCAAAAGCAAACTCATTAGTTTTTGTGTTTTTTTTTTTAAGTATAACATCCTTAACTATGGGACTGAGAAGATTCGGTGGCAATGATATTCATTTGTTAGGCAATGAAACCGAAGAGCAAAAATATGTGATTCCCCAGCACAGAGCACCTACTATGAGACCAGCAATGCTCACAGCACAAATGCAGCCAGTTTCTGTAGAAGAAAAATCTCCCCGAACCTCAGCAATAATCTAATGAAAATTTAACTGAGATTATTGTTTTCCCTTTCTGCTCCCAGTCTTCTAAACAAAATCAGCATAATTAGGTAGGAGCAGCCATGCTTAAATGAAAAGTTGAAAATGTAAAACTTTAAAAGCTTATTACAAGTTCATGGGATTAGATTGTTTTCATGGCAAGAGTAAATTGGTTGTATTGTTCCCCTCCCCCTCAAATGAATAAGAAACAGTTTAATCAGGTCTTCGGGGATTTGGCCTGGATTTAGGAATTTTTTTTACTTCATATTCATGGTATAAGAAATCAAACTCTTCCACTTGGGACCTGAATGTGCAAATTGTTACTATCTGACTCTTAGCTGGCATTTTTCGATATACAAGACAGAATAATTTAAGCCTAATGTTCCTTTTAGAAGTGACATTTTGTTCTAAAATTGTTATCCTTTAAGTTCAGAAAATTGGAAACCTGTTTTCTGCAACTTTACATTTTCAAGGCTGTAGGAAACAGCTTCAAATTAATATAAATGCCTTTTCTGCTGCTAGCCATGTTATACAGCCCAACGAGGGGGCGGAATGTAGAGAAAGGTATATGGGGGACTGGTTTCCTTGAATGACCCAAAGCAACAATAACAAAAGAACAGCAAAACCTTCCTTTTTCTTCTTAAGACATGCAGATTCAAGAGACCCTTTGCCACTCATTGAAACTACCTGTGCTTTTCAGTGAGTTCGCCCTGGCACTTGGGGAGGTGGTTTGTCCACTTGCCCATTCATTCATTCAAATGTCAACGGAACATCGACAAAGTGCCAGGCACTAGGGATGCTGCAAAGATCAATGACAGCAATGAAAGACAAAAGTCCCTGCCCTCCCGGAGGTCACATTCTGCTTGGAAGGAAACAAGGAGAATATATAATACGTTAGACGGTGAGAAATGCTTGGAGAAAAAGGCAGCAGGTGGGGTGCAGGACGCCCTGGGTCGGAATGGGGAGGTGCAGTTTAGATGAAGTGGTCCAGGGAGGGGAAGGTGGCATCAAAAGACAGACTTGAGTGACAGTAACAGTCACCTTCACCTACAGCTCATTCTTTCATCTCTCTTTCCCCAACATCTGCCATGCACTTTGATGTAAAATTAACTGTTTCCCCCACAATAACCAGAAGTAAACAATAGGTCGGAGCGGTGTTCATGACAGGGGAGTCTGGGGAAGAGATGGTTAATCCGAAGAGAGCAGAACTGGGTTATTGCATCTGGGTTGGAGTGCACCAGTTCCAGTTCCTTCTACCCGAGGGCCTTGGCAGAGACTGGATCCACAGCCCTGTGTCTTTGGTATGCTGTGCCCCTTCTAAACAAAGGATAAATGGAATGAGTATGAAAAATTCTGGCTGGCCTTGGTCCCTGTTGAAGACCAAATGCACTTATTTTTATTGCAAAGTCATTAGCAATAAGACACCGCACTGTTCTCCCCTTCACCAAAATATTATTACGCAGGGACAACTTGAGTTTCTCTGTGAAGGAGCAGCTTTCCCGGCAGCGTGAGCATCTTTTTCTCACACTGGCCTCTACTGTCATTGCTTTATCTTCACTAAATCTTGTATTCTGCCAGAAGAGCATGCAGGAGGTGAAAAAGAGGGAGATATATATATATATATATTTTTTTTTTAACGTCAAGACTAAACAAGAGGTCCATAGTATGCCCAGTGTCTCAGCAAATGACTCCACACTTGAGACTAGTTTTGTGGGTTTGAATTTCACTTAAGTTTCCAAAAGCTTGTTTTTATTCTAATGATACGGTCACAGCCACATGACTAAGAAACCTCGTCATTTAGATGTGTCTTTTCTCGAAACAATGAGGAGACTGGGAAAGCAACACTTGGAAGCCTTTCCAATGTGCACATGGCAAGTGGTTAGCTAATGCTCTAGAAAGCAGTCACCGTCCAGCAGCGCCTCCTGGGGAAACTGTCCCTTGAGGACAGGGCTCTCAGAGGGACTGCGAGCCTTAATTCCTAGAAACTTGGTCCACACCTGCCACCAGGAACCACAGCTGGTCCCTGACGTTCAGGTATATGTTCTTGTCCAATGGGCCCTTCAATAGCAGACACGACACTAACTCCTTAGGGGACAGGGGGCTGCAGAAGCAGAACTCAGGCTTTGCATCCTATCTTTGGCATGGATGGTCTACGTCAGTGGTTCTCAACCTTCCTAATGCTGCGACCCTTTAATACAGTTCCTCATGTTGTGGTGACCCCCAACCATAAAATTATTTTCGTTGCTACTTCATAACTGTAATGTTGCTACTGTTATGAATCGTCATGTAAATATCTGATATGCAGGATGTATTTTCATTGCTACAAGTTGAACAACATGTAATTATATATGTGTTTTCCGATGGTCTTAGGCGACCCCTGTGAAAGGGTCGTTCCACCCCCAAAGGGGTCGCGACCCACAGGTTGAGAACCGCTGGTCTACGTGAAGACCAGCCATTTATTCAACTGTGAAGCAGAGATAATAACACCTCTTGTGCAGATTAGGGCAAATGAGATAATGCATATACGGTATTAGACTCCCTAGAGAGTAAGCTGAAGGCACCCAGTAAACGCACAGTGGCCGCCTCAACATGTGGGTGAGGTACTCGAGCATCTCAGTGGAGTTGTCGCCTGGAACACACACATCTCAGTGGCTAGAAGGGAGACCTGGCAGTGCTTTAGAAGTTCGTCTGATGAATGGTGTTCACCGTACATTTCTCTCCATCTCTCTCCCCCTTCGGGAAATACGTTTCCCATTTGCCTAGAGGTTCCTCCCCCCCTCCCCCCCTCACCAAGTGCTCATCTCCACCTCCCGAGATAACCAACCTCCTGGCTGCACAGCCAGCTTCTCTCACTCAGGAATTGCTTCTCCTCTGAGCCAACGTGGAACATCATGGGGGCTATTGATGTTGACATTCTAATCTTTCTCTGAGAGCCCTTAGGGGCCTACCCCACCTAATTTGTCTGAGCATCTCACATTGTATATTACACTCAGGTTTTAAGAACATTTGGAACAGACGTTGTGCTGGTTGCCAAGATCAAACTTTGATCTGTGGGTAGAAGGGTTCCTTCCCACACAATGGACCCTCAGTTAATAGAATCTCTTGTTCTCTCGAGTTTTTGGAGTCTGTCTTGGCAGCACCCAGCTGATCACTTGCTGTGTTCGCTGCTGCATTAGGCAATGTGGCCAAAGGCTGTGCCGAGAGAGAGAGAGAGAGAGAGAGAGAGAGAGAGGAACGTGCCTGACTTTGCAGGAGATGAGGACAGCATTGCACACGGACACAAGAAACACAAGGAACATGGAAGTAGGGCTTGAACTCAAGAGAGGAAAACGTGTTTGTTCCCTATTTTTAAAATAACTTACTAAGACACGTATTGTCCTTGAAGAAATTCAGAAACTTCAAGCACTCTTCCAGGTCGTTGCCGCTGTTGCTGCAGTCACACCACGGGGCCACGCTGAGGCTGCTGGAGTCTATGTAGTTGGGGGTCATGACTGTACCTAAAGGAGTAGAAACCAGGTGTTTTATTCTTGCCTGACGATAAGGACTTTTCTACAGCCTGAAAAGAAACAAATGCTCTCTCAGGGCGGATGCACCGTGGATAATTGCAAACATTGTGTTGGCAGAGTGGGAAATTATGTTAAGCAGTGCATTTTCCCAGCAATTTATCTCAAGCACATAAAATAATTTACACATTTACTTAAAAAATTATAACGGAACTCCTTGAGCTGCATTTAGGGCGGTTTTTCTTTTTTTTTTCCTGCACAAATGGTATGGATGTCTTGGAGTAGGAGAGAATTAACTTTGAATGCATGAGTTGCCAAATCCCTTGCATTTTCTTGAGAATGTCATTAATCTTCATAAACAGATAGAACTGGTTTTACGTATCTTAAAAATCCTTTTAGGACGTTGAATCTACTTCCCTCGGCAGCAAATGGCTTCTTCCGAGAAACAAAAGAAGCTTCGAAGCGATCTTTACGGATCACCCCACATCCTGAATGTACTGTGTGACGAGGCCACTGCTCACCAGACGCCCTTGGACTGAAATGAAGTCTTCCAAGCTGTGGAGGAACTGGAAGCCAACAGTGGAGACTCCCTAAGCTGATGGCTCCTAGAGCCCTCAAAAGCCCCAGAAGAAATACTGGGTGGTCTCTCTTGCCCACATCTTCCTGTGCTCATGGTGTTTCTGGTGAGTTCTGTACTGGCACTAATAAACAGTGCACTTCTCCCTAATACAACCCGAATGCCTTCTCCTGGGTGGCCCACACCAGGCGATGCCAACTCATGCCAAGAAGCCCTGTTTTTATACATTTTGTGGAAATAAGTAGTCAGTGGTCCACAGGATATAGCTGGTTCACAAACAGAAAAAAATTTTTTTTTTCTTTGTAAGCTCTTCTGGGTCCAGAGTATATCTTCTTTGCCATACATTCCTCACTGACTTGAACTAAGTGATGTGCCATTATATCTTGAGATGAGACCTTCGACCCACAACAGAGAGGGAGCTCTGTTGGTAAGAAAGCAACTGAGCAAAGAGGTTGACATGTACCTACTAAGCGCGCCTGGCACCACGGTGGGTCCCTGACACGTGGAAAAAGTCGGAGCCAGCTTTGTCTTCAAAGAAGTTAGAACGCAATGACCAGTGTGGAAGGAGGGATCCCGGCCCAACGGAGAAATAGGTTTTGGTCTGTAGAACAGACTGCCTCCACCGACTATTCCCTCAAGAGAAGAGGATTTCATCACCCTCAGGCATGTAACAGCTTGCCTAGCCATTCAAGGTGGAGTTCATGAGCGTGTGTGCCTGGAGGGATGGGCCTGAGGTGTTAATAGCAATTACACCTGGGAGTGGACTTGTAGCTCCTTAAAACCGTCTCCTTTGGGCTTCTCTGTTTGCTCGTTTCTATACTTTGTACAATGAGCATGCCTTAATTACTTCTGTTATTCCCTAAACCTAGAATGCCGTAGTTGAGAAGGAATCCCTTCTAGGGGCAAACTTAAAAAAAGGAGAGAGCCAATGCCAATTTGAAACACTGACTTAAGGAAATGATACACATTGGACATATCCATAAACATGGTCAACAACCCAACAGAGCACAGGTATCCTTTCAAAAGAAGTGCGGCCCTAGCCAGTTTGGCTCAGTGAATAGAGCGTCAGTCTGCAGACTGAAGGGTCCCGGGTCCCGGGTTCGATTCCAGTCAAGAGCACAGGCCCAGGTTGCTGGCTCAATCCCCAGTTGGGGGCATGCAGGAGGAGACATGTGTGCAGACACTGTAATACCCCTGTGTAAGTCCCTCTGTCGATTTTCCCATGGCTCTTGCTGAGGACACGCTGGTGACAAAAAATTTGGTCTGTGCTGTTGTGTTGGGGGCGGCGGGGGGGGGGGGGGGGCAGGAAGAGGAGTTCCTTCTGCCTGGTGACGTGTGCGATCCTGGCAGGAACACACACCCTGGCTGAGCCATCGCGCCTCTGACAGCCGCGATCTCCCTCCCCTCCCAGCCTGCACTGTGTGTTCCTTCTCAAATGTCAATCATGAAGCAGCCCTGTCACCCAGGCTCCCCAGGCCCTGGTCCCTGGAGCAGCCACCTGCCCTCCTGCCTGCCACACCCACCCAGGGGCACACATCTGCCTCCCTCTGGTTCTCTGCCAACCCACCGGTGCCCGTTCAATCGCTCTGGTCTCCTAGGCGCCCAGCACCTGGTCTGCTCGCCCCTCAGGTCTTGAAAGACAGAAAGGACTGTTCCTGCTGCCCAGTCTGTTCGTGGGAAAACACGGAGGCGAAGTCGCCCCCTGCACTCCAGGAGCCGCATCCGCGAGGCTATGAATGGTGAGCAGGACCCCGGCACTCAGGGGCTTTCTCTCCAAAGGGCCATTTCTGGGAAACAGCCTTTGGATTTCCCCAGAATGAACGACTTCCAAGTTCCCTTTCTCCAAAGTCCCCTGGTTCCGTTTCCTTGGCTTGACGCGCTCTCCTCTTCCCTAAGCAGGCCTTTTCCTACTTTGGTTCCACATGGTCGCTTCTCCTACTGCGCTGCTGTCTGCCTGCTCTTTAACAATCCCTGCTCCCTGCCTTTGCCTTCGAGAGTCCATTAGCCTCCTTGTTGCTTTTTTTTTTTTTTTACAGGCGGGTCCTAGAGGCCTGACATCAAAACCCCAGCACAGCGGGACACTGGGAGCTTGTGGCCACGGTGGCTACAGCAGGAAGGGTCCCCGAGTATTTGTAAACCAGCCTTTCCTCCCATCTTGCTCCTCCCCCTCTTACCAATGAGCCCCGAGTAGGCGAGGAGGCAGTCCGCGTAGTTTTCCTTCAGGCAGCTGCTGGCAGACCTGGACTCCGGCTGGCAGTTGGTGAAAAAATCCGCCAGGCGAGATCTGGGTTAGGAAGAGAAGGGGGAGGGTGCTTTAAAATAGCCTGAGCCTCTCCCGGCCTGCGGGACCCAGTGGTTGAGCATCGACCTATGAACCAGGAGGTCAGGGTTCGATTCCCGGTCAGGGCACAGGCCCGGGTTTCAGGTTCATTCCCCAGTGTGGGGCGTGCAGGAGGCAGCTGATCTATGATGCTCTCTCATCATTGATGTTTCTCTCTCCCTTCCTCTCTGAAATCAATAATCATGTATTTTTAAAATAATATCCCAAGCCTCTGGACAGACATAACTTTGCTTGATTCCTTTGTGGTTACGCCTTTTCCACCCCGCCCCCCCCAAAAAAATACAGAAAATGCGAAGTCTGAGAATGAGAGCATCCTCTCCCGTACGTCCCCCTCCCCCCATCCACGCCTGTCCTCGCCCACCTGGGCAGCGGCAGGGGCTCATCTGCGAGAAGTCTTGGGGGCCCACAACTGGAGAAACGAAGCTGCATTGCAGTTTCCATTCAATATTTATTTCTAACTTGACTCATTTGCATCTTGAGGAAATCTGCTTCCCTACAGCCTCACCGGAGATCCACGCTGAGAAAATATTTACTTTACACAGAACCCTGTCCCTGGCATCAAAATAGGCCCCTGCAGCCCATCTGTTCCTAAAATTCCTACTGGCCTTAAAACTCCTCGTATCTGTCCTGTAAGTCATCACTCACCCACCAGCCCGGTGTGTGTGTGTGTGGGG